TTTTTATTCAATTTTAGGCATTTTTAATATTTTTAGTGTTTAATTTTTAGTTGTTTAGCTTAGTTTTATTTTAATTCTCATTTTTACAATCTTTTAATTTTCTTTCAAAAATAGTAGTTTTTTTAATCATTTTTTTACATTATATTATTTCATTTTATTTTTCCCTAACCCAAAATTATCAGATATCTTATTTTTTGGAGAAAAATATAGCAGAAGGCCAAAAATGTAGTTCAAGTTTGGAAAGAAGATATTGATTTTGGCTAGAGCCCAAACCCATCATCAAATAAAGAAGTCCAGGCCTTGTCCTCTTAAGATTTACGCAAGAAAGGAAAAAAAATGGAGAATTGAAGTCTACGACTTCTTCTTCCTCTTCGCGATAAACTAGCGCGGATGCTCCAATGTTCTTCCGTTTGATTCGCAACAATCAATTCTCAACGGGAAGAAATTAAAGGCTCCTTGCTCCTACTATCCTATAAATTGAAGGCAAATTGCACAATTGAAAAGGGGGGAAGGGCATCGCACCAACAGGAAAGTGTGCAGCGGCTTTTGGCCGCTGCAATTGACGCCACCGGAGAAGAGAGCAGACGGCGGCCGACCACGGCTCGCCGGCGTTCGACGATGGTCGGCGGTGATAGGTGTGGCAGTTCCTTCAAGCTCCAATTTCTTCAAGTTTTCTTCATCTTCTTTCTCTAATTGGTAACCCTATATGTTATTTCTTCAATTTTTTTCTCCATTTCTTTGTAAAAGTGTTGTTTCAATTCAAATTTATACTTTTTTTGCTTGTTGTGTTAATTTCGAAAATTCCAAAATGGTTGGTGTTCTTTTATGGGTTTTTTATGTTATATTAAATCCCTTATGAATGAGAATGAATTCTTACTAGTTTCTTCAATTTTTGCGCAAATTGATGTTAAATCGGTTGAATTATAAATTGATTTCATAAGTAGGTTGGTATGTCGAATTCGGTTATCATTGAAGCTAATTTAGCTACATATTTTAGTTAAATGATTTTCGAATTCATACGTGAATCTCTTTTGTGACTTGTGTTTTGTAAAATTTTAAGGTAAATGAACTTCTTAGCCACATAAGTTGAACGTTTTCCTTAAGATTCGTTATAGAGTGATTGTTTATGTCTTGGTGTTTTTGTTTGTTATTTTCATAAAAATTGGGATTGTTTAAGCGCAATAAACAACTCTTGATTTAATGAAAATATGTAATGTTTTTCTTATGTGAATAGATTAAAATTCTTATGCTTAAGTTGTTCAAGGAGACCTGCAAAATATTTTCATCATTAGACGTTAAAGTTTATTAAAGTGTATCAAATGTTCTTCATGCATACTTTGTGCATGGGAGTTAGAATGAAAGAAAGATTCGCTCTTTTATAAACTTTTTCATCTTTTGGAATCATTGTTTGAGCGCTTGAGGTGAGTGGGGGTTCAAAGTGATCCAAAAGGCCTTTGAATCTTTGACTCCGGGCCTTATAGAGAGTTGACGATCCTCTATATGTGGTCAAGGATATGAATCAACTCGAGCCTTTGAATTCTATTCTATTCTTAAGTGCGTAAGTTACGTAATATTTTGTCTAAGTGCCTATTATACGTGTAATGTTCAATTTGTGTTTGTTCTTTTTTTCATTTTGTTTTGGGTTCTTGGCGGTGTTTCTTGGGTTACCTTAATTGGAGAAGTTGATTATCTTTTGAGATTGTTTCCCTCATTTTATCAAAAAACCAAAAAAATAAGAAAATATAAAAACCAAAAATATTTACTTTTTATTCAACCCCCCCTTTGTGTTTATTTATAAGTTATAAATATAAGTTTTTATTCTTTTATATACTTAGGTATTTGTTTTGTTTATAAGTTATATTATAAGTTCTTTGTTTATATAAGTTATTTATAAGTTTTTATATTTATTTAGTTAAAAGTTTTTATTTTTATTTAGTGACAACGTGTTTGCATACTAAATTGGTTTTAAAAAGTACAAACTTTCTCCGTGGGATCGACCCTTACTTGCCCTAGCTATAGTTTTTGTTTGATTATATTTTGGGAGTTAGCTAAGGATATTTTATAAATTTTTAATTTGTTTTGGACCACACGACAAGTCC